GAAAAAACAAACAAACATTTATTTCAAGGCCTCTATCTATGTACACATTTGAATGGAATTGAAAGATAAACTATACAATGTCAATAATCTTTTCCTTCACTTTTTACCAAATGGATTAAGACTGGATATCCAATTACTGCCAGAGGTGCTGGAAAGAGAAAAAAATCACATTAATATATGCTGAATGAAGTTTAATTTAACAATCGCTGAATAAAATTTATTAAAATTTCTTTCCTTTTATATAAAAAATACATAGTCTCACGACTCATTTTTCAAAAATCAAAATATGCACAATTATTTAGAACTATTACACACACACACTCACTTACTCACTCACTCACATACAGACACACACACACACACATTTATTCACTCACTCACTCACTCACACACACACTCACACTTACACTCTCTCACACAGACACACACAGACAGACAGAGACACAGACAGATAGACAGACAGACAGACAGACACACACACACACACACACACACACACACACACACACACACACACACACACACACACACACACACACACACACACACTCACACTCACACTCACACTCACACTCACACTCACACTCACACTCACACTCACACTCACACTCACACTCACACTCACACTCACACACACACACACACACACACACACACACACACTCACACTCACAGTGAAACCCACCTTGACGTAATCTCTCCTTTGATTTCCTCCATGTCCACCTTGTTCGTCTTCAGATACTCGATGAACTCTTGCCTGAAGGCTTCTTTCAGGGGAACGGGGGCACTCGCCTTCATCTCAATTATCTTCTGCTTTGTAGCTGCTTCCTTTATGCTCAGTCCGTACCACTCCGCTTCTTCAGCCTATTAAACCAGAGAAGAGGAATTATTGTGTGACTTGCATGGAACAGGTGGAAATAATTGTGTACTTCTATATACATGTGTGTTTTGCTGTTCATCATTATTGTGTGTGGGTATGTGTGCATTACGTACAACTCTTCATGGGTATTAATAGACATATATAACAAATTGTTTTCAGTTTTAAGTTTGTCATTCTTACAAACACCTGTCTCCCCATAATAATAACTACTATTTTTGAGTTTACTTATTTATCAGTATTATCCTTTTACAATGATATTCCTTTTTAGCATATCTCACTATCTTACCAATATGTATAAACATATTTCCCAGCATTTCAGTATTGTTTATTTTCATGATCTTGTCTTTTGGACTATTACTAAGGTTCCTCATAAAGCAAAAGTTTCCTTTTAAAGCAAAAGTTTCCTTTTAAAGCAAAAGTTTCCTTTTAAGTCTTTTGTTGTCTTCTATTATATTTCCTAGAGTTGATAGTACATTGGCCCCAAAAAATCACAACATATTTGGTGCTTATTAAAAACCTAAAACTGTGCCATATCAACTTTCTAGCTGTTAATCAGTAAGTGGGATACCTATAACCTCCTGATTTCAGTACATCTAAACAAGATATCTACCCCTAAAACATGCAGAGCCACTTGTGCCATACCAGAGGAAACCAAGTTTTTGATGCATCTTCTGCATGGAAGCTGTTACAGAAGGAATATATTCCATTTTCTTAAAACAGTGAGGCTGCACTGGAGAGGTTGGTGATGAGCAGCTGAATGCAAAGGTCCAAATAACATTTCTGTATCTCAATTATCATCATAATTTCATCAATTATGAAATAACTTTCATCTCCGATCTGTTGTCCTGTCATCAGTAATCACACTCCTGTCCAGTACATCTCAATAATAATGAAAGAAAATAAGATAGAAAGAACAAAAAATAAGAAAGAAGGAAAGAAAGAAAATAGAAAAAGAAAGGAGAACATATATTATTCCATCAGTGTCAATACTTACTGAATTGTTCTACTTGCACTAGACTGCCTTTCCTCTCTGGGATGGGAATTTTCCTATACTGTCAGCTTTTAGCAACCTCAAAGTGGCTCCACAAATTGAAATGCTTTCTTAATGTACTTTGAAGCAAATATTTACCTTTTATGGATCTTTAAGGAGAGTGATAACGTTTTATGTACTTTAAGTCATCTCTCTAGGAAAAAATACGGCAAACTGGCCTATTCATCTTAACTGGGCCAGAGCCAAAATAGTGGCTGCCAGCTGGGTCGGCTCCTTCAACACATCATCCCTGCTTTTGGTTGTTTAACAATACAACTAGAAAGCTTACTGGAACACTTTGTAATACCTTCCTTTAATTTTACACATACTGTATTATCATATAAAACAATTCAGGATATGAGGACAAGGCTCACTCAAATTAGTAATGATTGTTGACTGTACTCCACATGTAAGCTATATATTTTTTTTAAAGTCACGTGCAAAGAAATGCAATGAAAACTCTTTACTGTACTATATATCACCATCCTATAGTAGAGGATCCTGATTCAAGTCATACTGACTATGTAAGAATTTATGCATGTGCATGGCTGTACACATGTCCGGAAGTGTATAAGTGTACATGTAAATCACACATATCTCCAAAATAAGAAGAGTCTAAACTGATTCCAATAAAGCAAAATACACACCAACCCACATACAAATATGAACCAGTTGCATATACCACTAGATCACACAATCAGAAGATGACAAGGGAGGTGGGGGAGTTATACTACTCCTCCATCACTCACCGGAATGATATGTTTATCAAATTTTTTCAGCAGCTCTTCCTTCTTTGCAGGGTTGTCTGGATGCAGCGTCCCCTGGGCCAAGCTGAGCAGCATTTCCCTCCGCAACTTCAACGCTAGTTCCGACATGAGATCAGCTGGTGGTGTCTGTGATGTGAAAAAGGAAATATTAGGTAATCATCACAACTTTGTACAGACTACCTTGTAAACACCATCACTGATTTCCTTACTATGAATCAACTAAGTATGGTAGAGCTATGTGTTTCCTATGTACTATGGAAAACTAATAACATGCTTCATTTGTGAAAAAAAATACATTAAAAACTTATTACTAGTCATTGAAGTACAAAGGCAGGTATTGCTGGCTTACTACTTTTGAGGGATGCCAATTTTTTTTTCATAATCTTTGTGAAAGTAACAAAAAGCATTACAAGTGAAGTACATACAGTAATATTAGTATAAGCCAATGCAAATGGCCTGGTTACCCTTTCTCTTTCTGTCTGTCTGTCCTTGATTAACACCAATTCAGGCCCAAACTTTGTGCTCGTACCTGAGCTTTGTGTAATATGAACAACTGACCCATAATCAGGGTATATATATATAATGAGTAGGGTATCTTTGTTAACCTTCAATATGATTCTTGTTCATATTTCTGGCCACTGGCTTCTATGAAGAACACTGGTTACTTCAACACTTTCTTTAATATAAAAATAAAATAAAAGAATAATACTTACATTTAAGATGTAACTGTCAAGGCCATAATTTTCATCTATAAGGTTGAGTGTCCGTTCTGTGACAGTAATATTCACATATCGATCCAATATTTCTGAGTACAGAACTGTTTTCTTCAACGTCGGGACCCAATAGTGTGGCATGCGACGAATATAACTGGAGGGGGATTAAAAGTTTTCATCAATTAAAAATTAAAGTACAAACCAAAAAGGCTAAACTGAGTTTTATTCCACACCATTACAAAAAAATACAATTCTAATTTTCCCTAATGTCAAAACTTTATATCTCTACCATTATATATCATTATCTACTTACGGCTTTCTCTTATAAAATCCTTTGATAATAGCTTCACCTCCCCAGATTCCTTCATGTATTTCTTTGGGCTGCAACAATTTAAGTGGTACATTCTGAACAGGCTGTCTGTAAAAGGAATCAATAAAAATATTATAGAGCAAAGCATAAATAAATAAAACAAACCTCTCTCAAAGCCTAAAGCATGAAGTCATGCATTGCTTAGTGTCCAAGACACATTAAAAGAAATAAGATGCTGTGTAAACTGGACACATATGTTGCATGTGATTTTATGGTAGATTTGGTAGTTTTTACCTGTATTAACCCAATAACAGCAATATCAAAAATTGATTAGTAGCTAGTAATGCAATCTTGTTGGTTTGTACTGGCAATTTCCTGTTTATGTCCTGCTTGTAGCTGTATTTTATATAAAAAAAAAAAAGAGCGAGAGAAAAAAAGTTTTCCTCCCCTTTAAGCCAATAGCACAGGGCTTGTCATTATGCAAAGCCATTCATGACTTACTCCACTGCAGCAAACATCGATTGCTTGGCCTATCAATATCTATCTTAAATAAATGAATATCTATCACACACACACTATCAAACAGTTACACGCATATCTTACATCTCTCCATTTGGCAGCTTCTTGAAATTCCCCTCCTCTGGAATGTAGTGGACGGGTGCCTTGGGCGCTGCTTTCCACTCCCAGTAGAACTTCTTGTAGTGCTCCGGGAGTCTTGCTAGTAGGTTATTGCCTTGGAAGATCTGCATCGCGTTCCAAGGCTTGGTTAGAGCCTCTCGCATAACAGATGCAGATATTTGAGCCCTCATCTGTGAAATATATAAAGATCATACATCTCTTTAAGATACTTTATTGGACTTTGTGTTCGATCATTTGCATAAATTAATTGAATTACGTATATAAGCTATATAAAAATTATTGTAATATGTGTTGTTTATTTTTTTGTGTGCATATCTGCATGTCCATGTGCACAAGTCTGACTACAAGTTCATATGTGTGTGTCCATTCATATTCCCTAATTTATCTCAGTGGAAATAGGCAAATGACTGACATCACACCAAAAGAATTTCCTAAATAGGTTAATCTTTATGGCATGGACACACTAAGCTAGAGCAAACTGAAAATGATATTCTTGTAGAGAACTAGAAGTTGCAGTTGTTGGTACAAGAAATAATCAGCAGATATAAACGGTACCACCACTAATAAAGAAAAAAGACCTAAGCCTAAGTCTACTCATTGCTTCCAAGTAGACATGGCGTTGGGGACGTAATCTCTGGGAAGTGTGTCTGTACAGCAAAGAATTACCCTAAACCTAAAGACCTTTCTCAGTGTCTGCCTTGATAGTGAGAGCTTTGCAACCTTTTCCAAAAACATCAGTAAGAGAGAGAGTGAAAATGTGGGAAAGACATAGAGGGATAGAGGAGGAAGGAGAGAGAGGGGGATAGAGGAGGAAGGAGAGAGAGAGGGGGGGGGGGGGAGAGAGAGAGAGAGAGAGAGAGAGAGAGAGAGAGAGAGAGAGAGAGAGAGAGAGAGAGAGAGAGAGAGAGAGAGAGAGAGAGAGAGAGAGAGAGAGAGAGATTGAGAGGGGAGAGGGAGATTGAGAGGGGAGAGGGAGAAGGGGGGGGAGAGAGAGAGGGAGGGAGAGAGAGGGAGAGAGAGGGAGGGAGAGGGAGAGGGAGAGAGGGAGAGGGAGAGAGAGAGAGAGAGAGAGAGAGAGAGAGAGAGAGAGAGAGAGAGAGGGAGGGAGGGAGGGAGGGAGGGAGGGAGGGAGGGAGGGAGGGAGGGAGAGAGAGAGAGAGAGAGAGAGAGAGAGAGAGAGAGAGAGAGAGAGAGAGAGAGAAAGAGAGAGGGAGGGAGGGAGAGAGAGAGAGAGAGAGAGAGAGAGAGAGAGAGAGAGAGAGAGAGAGAGAGAGAGAGAGAGAGAGAGAGAGAGAGAGAGAGGGAGGGAGGGAGAGAGAGAGAGAGAGAGAGAGAGAGAGAGAGAGAGAGAGAGAGAGAGAGAGAGAGAGAGAGAGAGAAAGTGGCCCAAAAAAAGTTTTCTTACATGACAGAGATCAGACTATTAGGCAATTTTAAAGTTTCACACAGCCATCCAATTTTGCAATTATCACTCCTTCTTTCAATTATCCACACTGTAATATGAATATACAGTTAATTTCCATCGCAAATGAGATAAATGAAAGTATTGGTTATGCCTACATTGTGACTGTACCCCTCAGAGATTAAGTCCCTATTACTCCAGCCATTCCTGGGAAATGCACAAGCATCGCTATTTGGATCAAAAACATTCTGGTTAATCTTCATGGTAAGGATGCACCAAAGTAGGACAAACTGAAGATGATATCTAGCAAAGGACAAGAAGCTACAGCCATTGGCATAAGAAATATCTATTGACATAACTGATAATTCCACAAATAAAGGAAAAAGACAGGAGAAAGTAATATTTCCAGGGGGTATTGGGGGACAGAGCCCCCCATTAACCCTTCCCTCAAGCGGTGCCAGAAGGGCACACCCAGTCACAGCAACCTTGACTGTTTAATTAATTTTGTTACATGGAGTTGGGGATAGTCTCTGGTAAGTGCTTCCTTACTATAAAGAATTACCAACTTTCCTAACAAACCGTCAAACCCACACCTGTCATTGTTGACTTACTCTCCCAGAAGCATTTCTCTCAACCTATTTTCTTCTTTTCTGACATAAATTTTGTCTATGCAAGTTATTTCATGTTTTCATGAAGTTTTTCTCTTTGTTCATTACAGAGCCATTATATTTTCCTGTAACTATATGCAAAAGTATTACATGTTGCACAAATTTCTTGTTATCAGCTTGTGAAGATAATACCATAGATGAAAAGCTTCTTATTTTCAGTCATTCCATCTATTACAGGCAAATTTTAAATGGCTGTGGGGAGCTCAAAATATATCCAGAATTGTTTACAAAGTTCCGTGATCTCTCCATCAAGCTCTATATCTTAACCTTTGTACTTCGAGCATTTGCGAAAAGTCAATAATCATTCTCCAACTACCTCAACACAATCTAGTGAGTGTACCTCCCCTTATTTATCATAAATCGAGAAGAAACCAAGCCAAGCTCAGTCCTCAGAACATTGACAGGAAAACAACGGCACTTGGTTGGCCTTTGCCGAAGTGCCAAATACCCATAGGCCAAGAAGGTCATTTAAGTCACATCAGTTACTTCAGTATCTCCTAAACCTCCTAAACCTCAAGCTCTAACACAGAAAAAAAAAAAAAGTGTGAGTTTCGTAATTAATTCAATACATAAACCTCGATCTTAACTCAAAGGAATATAAATCCCAGGTTATAGGTGCCCAAGAGTAAAATTATAAGGTTTGTTGTGAGTGCAACGTAACACGGTTGTTTGCTTTTAACTTAACTTGTAATTTTTAAAAGAAATTTGACATTAACACCTTTTTTGTTGCATAAAAAAAGGAATATTATAATGTAAACAAACAGTCAATGTGGAATTAAACAACTAATATAAATATAAACTACAATAACACATAGCTTATCACACTCATATATTATAGTATAATTCGTATATCATCAAAGATTGAGCTGTTGTCTTGCAATATTACGAAAAAAATATTATTTCCGGGATTTTTCCTACCTTTGCTGAAGCCTCGCGTCGGCCGGCGGAGTCTAGGCCGAAGTCAGGGACCGCGAAGGTAAATGTTTATAAGGGATCTGGTCAGTCTATAAATGTTAGTCTTTTGATAGAGGATGCTTAAATGTGTATATATATGTGTGTGTGTGTGTGTATATATATATATATATATATATATATATATATATATATATATATATATATATATATATATATATATATATTTATATATATATATATTTATATATATATATATATATATATATATATATATATATATATATATACATATGTGTGTGTGTGTTTGTGTGTGTGTGTGTGTGTGTGTGTGTGTGTGTGTGTGTGTGTGTGTGTGTGTGCGTGTGTGTGTGTGTGTGTGTGTGTGTGTGTGTGTGTGTGTGTGTGTGTGTGTGTGTGTGTGTGTGTGTGTGTCTGTGTGTACAAATGTTAATCCTTAGCTTATACCATTCCTAACCTTTCTCTCTCATCATTTTTTTTTCCTTTTCTCTAGTTCATCTTCTCATTCTCATCCTTATGCTTCTCCTTATGATCATCGCTGCCTTCCTCATGTTCCATTTAACTTGTAAATTAAATCTACGGAAATAACACTCCACATTTAGTTAACAAAGCCACTGAGCATGAAACACTATGTCAAGTTTTCGCAAGATAAATGTACCCATGGGTTATATGAGCCAAGAATAAGATAATTTTATGTTGTGGCCGCAAGAAGTATGCTTTGATAGAGATTGTATAGGCAAGTTAGTATAGAAAAAAGCTAAGTAACTGTTTTACCATATCTGATGTGGCTGAAAAAAGTATGATTTTATATCTTAAGTCGGGAATGTAATATATCATTACCATATATCAGTGCTGTGCGGTAAGATAGACTTGGTTATCTTTTTTATCTGTACTAAATATGTTTGTCACAATTTGTCACGTAAATTCATGTGATATTATATGTAATGTAAGATCATATGCATACTGTATCGAAGCTGAATTAGGCCTGTGAATTTAGCCAGAGTGGTGAATAAAATCCTACACTATGCTACATCAATTCATCACAGACGATTTTCATAATGAGTATTCGCAAATGGATGTTGGTATGTGTACTTTTGTGTGTATTTATGTTATATTGAAATAATCATAAGTTTTCGTGATGTACCCACTTTTCCCTTAGTTATGCTTGTTATATAAAACTAAATTTTCCCTTTAAAATACTTTACGATCAAGTTGTAATATGACAAATAAAGTAAAAAAAAAAAAAAAAAAAAATCCTTCACATGTAAGTAAGCGTAAATTCACAGTATATTCACTGATCATCATTTTTATTTTCATTCTCACCTTCTTCACAGCTTCCATCATTATTTATTTTAAGCTTTATCAATTGGTTCAGCTAACAGCGACATTCTATGTTCTGAAGATTATTCATTCACAATTTTCGTGATCGCATTCACGTGTTCAATGAAGCAAGCATCCACTAGATAAGATATGCTTCCATTCCTTGTTACTGATATTTTGCAGTTATGTTTCAATCTTATGCTTCGTAGGTATTTGCGTCTTGTTTCAATCACCTATCAAGATGTTTGTCTACTGGAATGGATACTTCGAATAATGGCCTTTACATTGGCATGCTATCCGTAGACAAACTTCTATATTGATAGAGAGATACGTTGAGTAGCGCTATGTCTTCTGCCTAATGTCTGCAAGTTTGACTTTTGATGGTATATGCTGACTTTAGAGGAAACAGCAGAACTGACAGACGCCTTAGAGACTGTTTAGTTTTAATCTACCTAATAATGAACATTGTTTCCATAATTTGAATTGCTATCGGCATGCAAAGAAATACCAACGTTAGTTCTAGATTCTTAGGTGCACACTATGTTTATACTTCTTCACTGGTCATAAGCTGGACTGCTTCTTCGTCTTTCACTTCCCACGTTTTCAGAGGCAAGTCGAAGATAGAACCGTATCTGATGTGACTATTTATATCCCGATCTGTCCACCAAAGAATGACTTAACTTTCAGGCGGTAGACACACTCTTTTTAAGGTTTTCTTTTTAATTGACACAAGAACAGATCAGAGAAGATCAGGAAGAAACGGCAGTGAGCAGAAGGCGGGGCTTGGTTTTGTAGTTACAGTGTCGCCTTTTCTTAAAATGACTTTCATGGGACAGAAAATTAGTTTCATGTGTCGTGTTTCGTTTTCATCTTCACCCATCTTCAGAGTACAAGACTGACCTTTCATTACCATTTGAAATATGTTCAAGATTTATCTCCAGATGGTATTGGTGGTCATGTGGTTTTAGGTATATAGAACTCTCATTATATATATATATATATATATATATATATATATATATATATATATATATATATATATATATATATATATGTATGTGTGTGTGTGTGTGTGTGTGTGTGTGTGTGTGTATATGTATATATATGTATATATGTTTATATATATATAATTTATCAAAATCATATATCAAAAAGCCTGGCAGATAGCACTGTTATATAAAGGATATATTTTACATTGCTGTTCATTCCGTATCGCTTGTGCTCTTGCTCATTTTGCATCAATTATTATATAACGTCACAGGCGTAATACAAGCGAGCTGCTCAGCTGAATTTTTCTTTTTTATGTACATTATCCTTCGTTCACGTTTAGCTGTTACTTCTAGTTTATTCATGATACATCATTTCCCGTTTTGTAAATTAGTATAACGATTTGTATGGCTTACCAATTTGACTGACATTATCATTTGTTAAAAATCTATTCGTTCTAATTCGACCGGAAACGAATGTTGAATGTTGCAACGTCCTGGCCATTCACTGTAAAGCTATTATTTTCTATTGTGTTCGTTAATCACTCTTGTGAGTAATCTGGGTAAATACTGGCATCTAGCATATAAACTATGGAAACTGTATAAGATTCAGAAAAAATCAAGTTTTATATCTGCTTCTATTTTATCTGAGTTAACCAGATACAACATGATTGCCACTGACCCAAAATTCTCCCGAAATCTCATTTCCCAATTTCCCTTTCCTCTTTACCTTGCATTATACACCGAGCGGTCAGCGGATGATAACACTGCATAGCCAAGGTGGAACCAGTTAAATCTCTTTTATCATTGTTGTTGTTGTTATATTTATTAGTATCATTATCATCGCCATCATTATTATTATATTTTGAATATGAATCCTCAGAAGATTGGGCGTGATATATATAGCTCTCGTCATAACACATTCCTACTGTATACATGAGGGGTATGTAGGTAATAAGACAGAGGTAACTAGACATACTCTTTTGTGTTGCGACGGATGTTGCTCAATACTTTTCAAGGGAGAGGGGGGCAGGGGAGGAGGGCAGTTGATGTGGTGGTGAAAATGATCATGATAAAAATGATGATGATTAGCGTAATGGTGAAGATGAAGTGATGATGATAGGGGTGGCGGTCGTCTAATCATATGGTCACCATTACTAATATTGAATGACCATATTATCATCATTCAAAAGAGGTTGAGCAGATGCAAGTGCATACCGCCCGTTGAAATTCTTTGAAGTCGCAAATTCCATCCTCTACGCGGCAAAAAAGAAAAAAGAAAAAAAGAAATCAACCCATTTTCTCGGAAATTTAAACCCAGTCAGATCTCCCTCAATAAATTTAACAATACATACCGTCTACCCGCCCCAGTAAAGTCAATTTCTCACTCTCAGCACCTCAATTGCCTCTGTGCCCCAAAATATAACCAACTCTCTGGCCTCCTCTCCCAGGACTCGCCCGATCTACGTGACCAAATACCCGAATACCCGACTCTGCCTGCACGTCGTCGCCCCCGCGTGCCTCGGGTCACGGACGGACCTCTACCTGACGGCGACGACGAAGAGGGCGAAGAGGGTAACGAAGAGGACGAGAGCGACGAAGAAGGCGACGAAGAGGGTGACGAAGACGATGAAAAAAGTGAAAAAGGCGACGAAGAGGGTGAAGAAAGGGGCGAATAGGATGGTGAAGAAGGCGACGAAGAAGGCGAAAAAGGTGACGAAGAAGACGACGGAATTGGCGAAGAAGGCGACGATGGCGACGAACAGAGTGACGAGGAGGACGAAGAGGTCGGCGTAGGAAAACCGCAGTCACGCGCCGACCCTCACGTCCGCACCGAAGGGCCTCGGGTCGTGTCTCTCTCTCTCGGTTTTCTTTTGTTAAATGTGCAGGAAGTTTGCATTTTAGAGTGAGCAGCTCCGGGTTGTTCGTCGTGACAGGTTGCTGGTAGGTCTTGTGAGCTTTTTTTTTGTTATTTTTTTATGTTTTAGTTTCATTTTATCGCCTTTTTAATTGTATTTTATTGTTTATTACTGTTTTTTTTGTGTGGTGATGGATTTTTTAGCTGTGTTTTTGTGTGATGATTGATTGTTTTAGCTGTGTGTTATGTGTGGGGGAATTAATTTAAGTATAATGAGAAAATTACATTGTTAGAAATATTTTTTTTCTTTTTCGTCTAATTTTGCAGAATTGTGAATCAAATCACGTGCAATTAACCTGTTGGTCTATACGAATACCACTAAAATTAATCTCTATGAATGCCAATAACGTTATTTATGCAATTTTTACGCATTTCATACATAAGACGATTCCCTGTCCTTAATCCTCCCTTAATTCCATCTTAATTTAGGTTTTAATTAAAGTAGAATTGCCAGATGGAAGCGGCTGACCGGAGTGACATAACTCAGTAAGTCTTTTTATCACTATTTCATCCATATTTTCCTCCGATATTGTACGGCAGGCATTATCACCTTGTAGATAACACCTTTGTCCACCAGGCAGGCTTTGCCACGGTGTAGTTTCGTGATGAATGGCATGAATAAAGGAGGCAATGAACCCATATTTCAACACTGAACTGCCTCCTTGATATCAGTGTCGTTATCTATTACTAATTACAAAATTGTATTACATGTGGTGACTTTTTTAAACATATCCTTCCTGTGGCTTTCGAAATATGACATTGTGGTGACTGTAATCTATCCCAAATAACCCGATATACTGTGATTTGTGATGCAATTGCAATCTGAATGCTAACACTGTGTGAAGCGCCCGCCGCGGCCTTCGCGCCTTCGGCTCCGCGGCAAAGGGCATCGCATGTCTGTCACGTTATTCAGAGAAATGAGGCTTTTCTGAGG